CCTCATACTCTTAACCACTTCTGCAGTGGCTCATGTAAAGGCTTTCCTCACCTCTCTTACCTGAAACAAATATGAATCTTCACTTTCCACAGAGAGCTCACCCACACAGTGGCAGAGAGTTGGGCGGAGAGAAGGATATTCAGTACAAGCTGCACCTTACCTTTTGATCCCTGAGATCTTAGCAAGTGATACTAAGCTGAATAAAGATCCATTGTATGTAACCATTACATATTTGGTGTTGCATTTCCTCAGAGTAAGCAACTTCCTCAGAGGAAGCAAAGCTGTGAAAAAGGGAACAGATGAGAAATAGGAAAAAATGAATGAAATCATCTTTCATTTGTGGAGTATATCAGAGCCTGGAGTGACCCCATTATAACATTATGAGTGTCATACCAGGGTGCTTAACATTGCACAGGATGGAAAAGGCATTGTTGTTCTTCCAGCTCTGGTATTTTTATGTTGCTGCTGTGATCACTACAGAACTGGAAAGGTTAGGTCATGCTGTTTTTATTGATGTGCTATGTAACCCAACGAAGCTCCATCTCAGAAAGAACAGTAATTTGCACCTTTATTATTCTCACTGGTTCTATTAGTAATTACATGTGTGCAGATCAAGAAGCTCATTTAGATTATTCTCAAATACATCACAGGTAGAGTATACAGTATATGATGCCTGGATGTCGAAAGTACCTTTGCATTTAACGATCTGAAGCACAAATGTCTGATGAGAGGAAATTATTCAATATGCAGAAAAGCAGATTTAGGTGTCAGTTCTGAAATACAACATTTTCCAAAGTAACTGATTAACTGAATTGAATTGAGGAAGTCACTTAGAGAGTTCTTTGAAGACACAATAATAAAATACAATACAAATTTACATTTATATAGCGCCTTTCATGTCTTGAGGATGTCCCAAAGCGCTCAACAACAAATTGCATGTATATAGCGCCTTTCACGTTGGGAGGACGTCCCAAGGCGCTAAACACTGGCTGTGCACCAGACCTGCAGGAAGGGAAAAGATGAGCATAAAGTATATGGATAAACAAGGTGTCAGGTTCAGGTACATGGATAAACTGGTTAAATGGGGCCACGTTACTGTGTTAAAAATATACTGACCCAGTCAGACTCCCCCTATCCATAGTGGAATCAATTGAGCCAAACAAATACGTCAACAGCAAGCAGCACCCCATCACTGAAGCTATAGGCAATATTAAATGTAGCCCAAACTTTCCCCATTTCATTTAATGTTATAGTAATTGCCAATATTCCCAACTACAAGAGCCTTCCATCATCTCCTTATGTGGGACTGCACTCGCCTGGTTCGAGTCCTACCTCACAAACCGCCAGCAGTACATCTGCACAAACGGCTTCTCCTCCCGCTCTCACCCGGTTACCTGCGGGGTACCGCAAGGATCCATCCTTGGCCCCCTCCTCTTTCTGATCTATATGCTCCCTCTTGGGGATGTCATCCGCAGACATGGGGTACACTTCCACATGTATGCAGACGACACCCAACTCTATTTTTCCATCTCTCTTTGCGACCCCCAGTCCCCTGATGTTCTGTCAGCCTGCCTGTCAGGCCTCAGGGGCTGGATGAGCGCAAATTTCCTTCAGCTGAACGTTGACAAGACAGAAACCATACTCTTTGGCTCTCGTCAACGTCTAAAATCTCACAGCTCTCACCTCCTCCACCTATCTGACCTCTCCCTAAAATTCTCCGAACCCGTACACAACCTAGGTGTCAGGTTCGACCCCCAATTATCCTTCCTCCCCCACATCCGGTCCCTAGGTGTCAGGTTCGACCCCCAATTATCCTTCCTCCCCCACATCCGGTCCCTCACCAGCACCGCTTTCTTCCACCTCCGACGCATCGCCCATCTCCGCCAATACCTCACTCCAAAAGCCGCTGAAACCCTGGTCCATGCCTTTGTCACCTCTCAGCTGGACTATTTTAATGCCCTCCTCGCTGGTCTCCCATCCACTACCATCCATAAAATCCAGATCATTCAAAATTCTGCCACTCGCATTCTCACCCGCACCAAACTCCACTTCCCGATCACCCCAGTCCTTGCCAGACTGCACTGGCTGCCTGTCCCAGAGGATCGATTTCAAGATCCTCACCCTTGTATTCAAGTCCCTGCACTCCTCTGCACCCCTCTACCTCTCTGACCTCCTCTCTCCTCAAAACAGTACCCATTGCCTTCGTTCCTCCGGGTCTGGCCTCCTCCTCGTCCTCCGCTCCACCCTTCAGCCACTATGCCCCGAGGCTCTGGAACTCCCTTCGCCTCGCTCCATCCCTTCCTATTTGCTGGTCTCTGCTGAAGACCTTTGTTTTCGACTGCGCTTTTGGTCACCTTCCTCCCCCTCCCCCTGGCTCGGCCCCGGGATCCGTTACTGTGAAGCGCTCTGAGACACCGTCCGATGTGGAGGGCGCTATATAAATCCAAGTTGTTGTTGTACTGATTCAGTCACTCACCCCCTTGGCATGACTTGTATGCAAATCAGAGTGAGCCAGTGTTTGAAAAAAACACAAGCTAACCTACCCTTGTCGTGCCAGCAATTGTTCAGCTGAGGACATACCACACAGTATATTTGAGAAGCGCTGCTTGTTTTGCTTTCCAAAGGTGTAATTTACTTGAGGGTGTTATTACTAACCATAACAATACAGCCTAATCCACTCAAATGTCGAATGCTTAAAGTGACCAAAATTGAGTGCTGGAACATGATTTGAAATGGATTTTTCATTAATAATCACAAAGAGAGCATGAATAATCCTGCAAATTACTCAAAAAATTTCACCTGACAATTTACGGAATTTCTTGGGACAATTAGCCTGGTCACGGAAATAGCTTCTGAAATGAGGATTTATTCTCTAAATCCACTTGAAAGCGGCTCAGGAATTCACCACGGATCAGGGCAGTTTGGATTTGCAAAAAAAATCCTACTTTTACTCTGCTGAGCATAATAATAATAATAATTTGAGTCGGGAGCGCTCAACCCCCAGTCACCAACTCAACAACTGTGGTATACTTTCTTGTGGGATTGAATTTCTTTCAATTTTGAGGTTCTGTCTGCTGCAGAATCCACTCACGTGGTCCACAGGCTATTTAAACCCTGCTTCAAACCGAACATTGTAACCATCAGCAGCATGAAATCTGGATTATATGAAAATCAATAGATTGAAGATCTCCCAAGTTTAGCTGGAAAGCAAGGATAGCACTAAGGTGACGATGATGAGCAACAACAATGTTTTAAGAGAACTTAACTGATGCAACAGCACATACATAATAAGAGCTGACAGGGGTTCCTCCTCTCCATTTTGATTCTTCTTCTTGGCAAGAAGGGTGTGACAGGTCAAAAAGGGTGAATGAAGAATTGTGTTTTGTACTTCCGTAAAGCGTTTTTTTCTGAATGTCTTACACAAACAGGCATAATAGGAAAAGACCCTGTGTGGGCTGGAGACTTTCAATCCATCTTCTGTACAGCAGGGATTTGGAAAGAGATTGGTAGACTTTAGGCAGCTATTTGGCTTCAGAGAGCTGCCAACCAGACTGAGGTTAGCAATCACCAATCATCTCAGCAATGTCTCCAGAAGAACTTGACAAAGAGGTAAAGGAGGGCTGATATGAACATCTTCAATTTTCATTGGGATTCTTTAAACAGATGAAAGTGAATGTTAAGCCTTTGTGATATAAACAAAAACCGTTTCCTGGGGCTGTGTCCAAATACCATTCAGTGCATCTTGGTCCAAATCATTTCCATCACCAAAAGCCTGACAGAAACTAAAACCATGGGAGAACCTGGTACCTCAGTCCAACAACTTACCATTTCACCAGCAGACTCCTCAGTGCAGTTTTAGATGCAATGCCAAAACAGGTTACAATAGAGCTGAAGCGAGAAGCTGATCTAATTCTATCTCAAATTCCTTGTTTCACTTCACAGTAAGCCATAGAAACAAAACTGTATTAAAAAAAATTAATTACTCCCCCCTCCCACTGAGTTGCAATGAGCTAAGAAACAGCTCCCTAATTTCGACTTCATTTCCTGAAGGCAATGAATTGTGTTATAGCTCCCAGAGTCAAACCCTGGCAAGCACTGTGAATATTTTTGATTGTTGGAAAAGGATATTGTTGAGTTGGCTCAAGGGTGTGACTGTGAGAGCGAGGGGAATAGCTCTTAACAGGCTGCATAAACTGGGATTATACCATGCGCCACATTTCTTTCTCTCTCCAGAGGTGGTATAATAGTTCTGCACACCATGTACTAGATAATGTAATGCAATGGAACGTCCCATCAATTTACTTCAGTTAAAATATTTCAATGCCAATGGTATTAAAAACAATTTTAAGTCGTTCAATCGGCAAATAACTGGTTGAGTTGGAATGGCTTTAAACTCTGTCTGAAGCTCTCGCCTTCAGCAAGATAAAGTGCTGGAGACTTGAGACTCAGACTCTTTGAAGTCTTACCTGTCTTCCTAGACAAGCCCTTATTAATCTGGCATTATTACGTTCCACAGACATGCCCAGTACAGTTAAATAAAGCAAGAATGTCAACATAACATTTCCACTGGATCCTCTTTATTGCACAAGTGGTTAAGGGGCAGTGGCATGACTAACATGGGTACAATTGAGTAATGACTCGGGAGGGGGGGGTGGGGGTGGTGGAAGGTTCTCTCAATTTATAGCCAGCATTAGCTATGCTATTTTTACAGGGCTAGTACAGAAACATCAATGCTATAGATACACACTACAAGTGTAACACACACACACATACTGTACTTACGCATGCTAAGTGATATCTGGTCACTACTCTTTCTGAGCCACATGCAGCTTTGAGGAAAAGCTGTGACCATAATAGAGGAACGCAGTAGGTTTTGAGGGTATCCTGCATTCGTACACTGTACATCATGTGGCATCAGGTCATTATAAATCCAGAACTCTCTTGGAGGTTAAAATTGATATAGAAAATAAAGAAGCATTAACACAACTCTTCAGAACAGCTTTGCATCAAACACCTAAAAATTTATTTTATATACAGTTTACATATTTATACACAGGAGAAAAAAGAAACGTTCTTGCTGATGGGTAGATTTAGAAAGCAGATCTGGAGTCGATACAAGGTAAAGACATCCCAGGCTACAGCTTTCCTGAGATAAGCAAACTCGTGGCTCCAGTTGAACTGCTCACACAACTCAGTGGTTTAGTTTCAGCATAACTAATAGTCAGGATAAAGCACAGCGCTGGCAACGGAAAGCATCATGGTTAACGCTCAGTGTAGGCATCAAGTCATTCCAATCAGATATGGTAGATGGCATGAGTATTGTACAGCTCTCTCCACATTGCAGGATTGTCATTGGAAACCCAAAAGCAAGGATGTTCTTCTACCCATTGCCCTGGTAATAATCGGTGAATTTTACTGACCTTAACTGTATTGGGTCAATAATCCCAACCTCTTCAGAACTTGAGACTGTACCTTTTGTCTACTTAAACAATTCTAATATTTCCATGGAGATGTAGGGAAACACCTTTCAAAAAAATAATTCATCTCTGGTATAAAATTCAGGTAAACAAAGCATCACTAAATTCAGCTGAAATTTATTCCCAATGCTTGCAATTTTGAATACATACTGGACAGAACCAGAAGTCATGCCATAGAACAGTGCAAGTTATTACACCATGCTGGATCATCCATTAAAACAATTATTCTTGGCCTACCCTGATGGCTCACTAACTACCAGCACATCACAGTAATCAGCGTTGAATAGTACAAATCCCATTCACATTTCCTACATTTGTGCTAGTGCTAGTTAGTATACTGTAGCCTTATTCTATAAAGGAGTGCAGCTTACTTCAGAGCTTATATGGCCCCAGGACTGTGCAATGACCTCAATAAGTTTTATTAAACTGACATTCATCAGATGGGTCTGAGCTAGTTTCAACCACAATGAGCAACCCCTCCCTCCTCCCCTCCCCACCCAATTTTAACCAGAATGACAACCTTGTATAGTTCTTGCAAACATTCTCATGCCAAGTACAACACATCATTGCAATGCTGAGAGCCATTATCACAATGGATACTTCCAAGTGAGGTACAGAAGATATGACAGATACAACAGAGCTCCAGCTGAGACTCCTTTAGCCACTTGCTCATCTTTAACATCAGGAGCACCTCTTTGATAAACCAACGAGACTTTCCATTTCTTACCTTAACTTTGTCCTCTTTCAGAAAGATTGTCATACATCACACGATTGTGGATTTTGAACACTAAGAACAGGATTGAGGAGGCTAATGTTACTTTCCTTAAGACTTATAAAAGCTATCGAAGCATACGGCCACTCAGACTCAATTTGAATGCAAGTCACATGGTGCCTTTGTACAGTGCTGGCCGAGTTTGTGCTCAAACCCTTTACCGCTAGGCCCCACCGCCCAACAAAAGCAATATTCTAAGATAACAAATTTAATTAAACTTAAATATTTTCAACCACCTAACATAATGCTCAGCAAGTGACGGTGCTAGGAAATTCCTAGTGAAATACAACGCAACTGTCTGCTGAACAAAGCTCTCTCCCCTCTCCCCCCAATTATGTGCCGCTTTCCAATTCTTTGATGAGCCGTCCCCAATGGGAATCAGCCAGAAACCGTCTAATTTCAATTCAGATAAAGCTCCTGGTCATCATATTGAAGCGGGATTCAGACACAAAGTTTAATGGTAAAACCCACCATTGCAATATCCACTCAAGCACCACTAAGCCACCTTCTGCCAATTCAAACATGAAATGAGACAATTGAATGGCAATGGTTTCAAATAAACAGGTTAAAAGTGGAAGTAACTTGAAACATGATATTAATCAGCCTCAACATTTTGTTGTTCAAATGCTGCTCACCAGTGGGACAAGTAGAGACGGGATCCAAATTCAAGCTGCCAGATATCAGAACAACGAGAAAAGGAATTGAAGAGTTTTAAAGCAGCCAACAGCTTGTTTTCCCATTGAGGGTCTGATAAAGAATAAACATTCAGTAAGATGGGTTAAAAAGCATTGATGGGATCTGATGAATGTAGATTTGGAATGCCACAACTGGAAATTTGACCCTCAAATAAAGGAATAAAGTACGGCCCAAAACAGCTTAGATACAGCAGCAGTGTGAAGGCTGTCAGGGATAATGAGGATTGGATAATCAGTACCCTAGAGGAGACCTTTTGGACAGTCAGATATCAGCACCATGTGCTGAATGAGGACTCTCTTCAGCAGAATGGAGTGTCTGGTATGTGGGCACCACTGCTGCCATATCCAAAGTTCCAGCGACAGCTTCATCCTACATGAACTGTTTATTCTCTTTTCATGAAAATAAAGAAGCTTTAAGTATCAAGAAATTAAAACCTTAAAATGACAACAGTACAGTTCTGGTGATTCAGTGAATGCTGATGTAGCCCAGGTAAGGATTTACACCAATCCACCAACCCTAAATACTCTGGTACATGCATAAAAGGCAGTATATTAATAAAGCAACAGAAGAAAATTTAAAGTAAAACTTTTGCTGTGTACCGAAGCCTTAGAGAGACAGAAACTTTGCCTTGTCTAGCCATACAGCCTCCAATTTACACCCAGAGTTGTTTTGTGCTTGTGCATAAAAAACACTGTGACATGCATAAACTTATCGATTGGTTTCCTAAGGGGAGAAAGGCAGGGTTGAAAAGCAGGAGAGATGAGCAAGACCGCTGGCAGCATGAAGGGAGGGAAGATGTGTTAACCTTGAAGTCAAAGCCGAGGGCATATGAGGGGAGAATGAACTTATTTAAACTCTTTCAGAAACCTGGGCAGTACTTCCAACAATAAAAAAATAGAATTGATCCATGCGCTTTAAAGAACACCGCAGAGAAAAACTCTTTAGTTCCCACATGTAATCCAGATAACAGTTATATGATAGAAACCACCCGCGGTTTGAAAGCCAACAGGGAAATGCAGTCCTCGGACGGTTAAATAGATACGATCAACCATTAGATGGGATGAATGAAGAAAATATACATTGTTGTCCAGGGATAGGAAAGGCGGTGGGGAGTGTATGCCACTCCAGTTCCTTGTGATGGCAATGGGGGCACAGGATTGAAGAAATTGTCACTGGCTAATTTTGTTTCCTCTATGTAGTCTAAATATGGATTTTTGCTTTTACTGACCAAATGTGCTTTACACAAATGAGATTGCAAGCAAGGTAGCTCCTCTCTATGGAGCCACGTACCAGAGCATCTTGAAACAGCATCTGCTAATCGCCTGGTAAATAGCTTTCCCTCCAATCTCATGTCACCTGAAACCATGTCAGGCCCAAGTTCTGCGGGAATGCTTAAAAACAGGGAAACCAGGGAAACCAGTTCCCTATTTTACGCTAATTTCTCCTGGCCCAAGAGAGTCTACATAGTCAAAAGCCCAAATTACCAGCTACATTTGTCAAAGGTCTAGCCAAACATGGACAGGCTGCTACTGGACTACGATTTCATGCAGGCCCCTACTGTAACCTCAGAACTAAGACAGGAAATTTCTTGAACTGCATGCAGTTCAGTGTGGTATTAACCCCCCACGTGCATTTTTTTGGGCCGCTCTGAAAAACAAAATGTGAAAAATCTGAACCGTCTCAGATAAAGAGAAAACCTGCAAATGTTGGAAATCAGGAATAAAACTAGAACTTTCTCTCCTGTGGGGCAAGTCCTTTCAGAAATGAGATCGGCCGTCACTTGCTTCTCAAAATTGCAGCGCTACTGTAGAGAGAAATGCTGAAGTGACAAAGGGCATTCCTATGGGTTGTAACAGAAGGCCCAACGTAAACTATGTTTGTTTATATCTTCTGTAGGATGCTAAAGTTATCCACGTGTATGAAAAGCAGAGGACACATTGCATCTGCACAAAGAATAAGGAGCTACTGCCGGGGATCTGAAACGAACGGAACCCTCTCGATTCACAACCCAAGAGATTTCCGCACAATCTGCTGAGCGATCTTGCAGAACTGTTCACGATCGTCACGCCACATCTTTGAGGCATCCACGTTGGCTCCACTTTCATCGTTTGGTTCTGAGTAAAGAAGAAAGCTAAATGAAACCAGGTCTTCAAAATGCATTCAGCAGTAACATTCAGCAGCAGCAACAAAAACTTGCATTTATATAACCCTTTAACACAGGAACGCACCTTGGAGCTCCTGCACCTCTCTCTGAGGACACCGAAGATCTGTCCAATTGACTAATATGGGGAAGGATACAAAAAGAACAGCAAGACATTCTACAGATCCAATCCTGGTAGGCAGAAAATCCTGTCCCAAAAGCTCTGCTACTTGCCCATTAAATGCAAATATGGAACATCAACATTGCTTCACATCATGAAGCGGCAATTCAAAATACCCTTAGATATCATACAGTAATAGATACATAAGGGGTGATATTCCTATAATGCCCAATGCCTCAAGAGGTACAACACTTTCTGACTAAAGAGGTTATGCAAAAAGAAACCAACAGCTGCATATAAAGGCAAATGAACTTATTTTGGTCAGCTTGGTAGCTAACGCAAGAGAAAAATTATCACTACACTTAAGAGCATCCAAACCAGACAGAGTTCCACAAATGTACGAAACCTACACATGAAAATTTCACTGGGTCTGGAATGGAATGTGCTTTTTCTCTCTGGAGGGATTCACCCCGTTTACCGAATTGCAGAGAGTATTAGGCACAAGTTGGCAAGAGCCAAGGCTTAGGAACACCGGAGTGTGGATTTGGATATTGCTGGAGTTTTTAAACCAACTAAAACCACAGAGCTTTCCATTGATAGCAATGTCTGGCAAGCTTGCTGCGGCTTGCCCAAGCCAAAACCCATTATGGCTTTGGCTGGCAAGGCTTACGGGAACTAGACAAGACAAATCCCTACTCCCAGTACTGATCTGGTCGGTCTGTTATCAGCAGTGCCCTGTAGTACTCCCTAATGTTAAATGCAAGGATTATTGATATTTTATTACACGTATTTTTGATCTCTCCTGTTGTAGTAGAGTTGATCCATACTACAATCAGGAGACCACACCGCATATATATACAAACTAACTCCATCACCCAATTAATTCCCCTTTTCAAATAGTTGGTCCAGCTGATTCTTACCTGCCAGCATGCTCACCACCGACAGCAGGATTTTCTCAACACTCTGAACAGGACTCCACCGCTCTGCACTGCTCTCGTATCCCATCGGATCATCTCCAGGAGCGTGCAGGATCGAGATGCACACCCTGCCATCTGGGTAAACTGCAGCACAAAAAAAAGCCAAGTAAAAAGTAAGAGAAGTTGCACAATTCACTATCAAAGTATCGCAATAAGCACCATAAGTAAGGACCCCTGACAGAGATTCCCATGCAAACAAAGGTAAGACAACAGACAACCCATCTAATTAGTCTCTGGTCAGCTCTAACTGGAACCTCTTGCGAAGCAAACACTCACTGTTAGGGTGAAACATCTCACAAGTGAACCGCATCTTTGGTGGACTCAGTGGATAATCAAGTGGAAAACTCAGAATGGCTGGAAACACTCCCCCTTCAAAACAGGTGTCCTCTGGGCCCCTGTGAATAGAACAGAATCAAGCATTTCAGTTAGTGTGAAGCCCTCTGAGACGTTATCTTACATGAAGGGCGCTGTATAAATGCAAGTTGTTGATGGTGTGGAGGCACACAGCAGCTAACCTGTCGCAGTAATGTTGCTCAAACAGAATTTTAAATGACAGGTTGTTAGTCGATTGGCAGATTGCTTTCCGGTGGTAATAATCCCTCAAAAAAATGGGATCACTCAATCCACGACTGTTTTTGGGACACTGCGGTGCGCAATTGGCTGCCATGTTTTGCCCACGAAATAAGGAATCAATCTACTTTACAATATATTCTGTGAAGTGCTTTGAGACATCTCAACAACGTGATAAGGCACTATATCAAATGCAAGGATTATTATTATGATTGTTTTGGACAAGAACTCTCTGGACATCCACCTGATCCTCTTACAGGAAAAGGGGTCTGTACCAGGGATAAATTTGACCTCTTATCAGGAGTCAGATTTTTGGGGGAAACTTTGAAAGTGACGCCTAATTTCTTCAAGTGCTTTAGCTTCACAGGGTGGGCAGCCAACTAGCAAAATCAGGCCAGGACAAGAACTTTTAAAGTGCTACAGGGCAAACCACAGAACTTCTGCTAGGAGGCTCAAGGAAGCTTGCTGAAAGATTTGAAGCAGCACAGACAAAAGCTGTTGGTTTCACACCAATATGGTAAGTTAATCTATCTGGACAGGTCAGTTACATAAAGTAATAAAGTCAGTACGTATCTTGATGTGAAGAGCCTGCAACCTGTCAAGCTTACCTTGTCACAACGGGGCTTAAGTTCACAATCTAGGCTGACACTAAAGTGCAGTTGGGTGAGGGGAGCACTATATTGTCAGACACGCTGTCCATCAAGCGGGATGTTAAATCAAGGACCATCTGCTGGTTAAGGTGGATGTACCAAATGAATTTAGCCATGAGACCAATGTCTTAACAATTTGACATTGTGTAGAGGTTTTATGAAAAACAGCTGAATTTAAAACTGTTCTAAATTTCTGCATAACTTCTACATTTTAACATGCAGAAAAGACTTTGGGCCTCAGATGTCAGAAGTCAAGGATACCAATGCACAACACTTGGAAGAGACAGGGCTGAGCAAGTGCTTAGCAATGATTGCATGGTGATTTCTGAGATGAACTGGAAAAGGGCAAGGATATGTTCGGAAATAATATGAACACAGCACAGTTAAGTCGAGGCTGGCTTCAGTCCAGAGACTGTAGAAATGGACAATATTAAACCAGGTGTACATCACAGTACTGGGATGAAGTAATGTCCCTCATTGAGGTTGTAAAATATGTAAAATGTATAATTACAATTTAAACACACCCAAAACCTTCTCTTTCATGTTTATATAAACAAACTTGGCAGAGACACAAACCACAGCCTCAAACACGAGCCAAATTCCAGGGGAAATCAAAGAGGATTATGAAGCCACTGGATAAACAGGAGCCAAAGGCTGGCTGAGCTGCAGTTGATGTAACTAGTTCACAATACAATAGGAAGAACAACTTGTATTTTTATAATATCTATAACATCAAAATGTCTCAAAGGGCTTTATTATAGTGAGTCAAGTATAGTATCTATTTTCTTTCAAGCCAAATGTGGCAGCCATGTTGCGCACAGCAGAGTCTCACAAACCACGAAAGGTCAATTTACTTGGGAGGATTTTTGGCCAGGATCCCGGGAGAAACTCCCTTCTCTTTTCAAATAAGTGTTATAGAGAATCTTTAGTATCCACCTGAACAGGCAAAGACATTGGTTTGTAAAGCCTCGTCCAAAAGACAGCACCTTCCGCAATGCAACGTCCTCCAAAGTTCGTGACAGTCAAGCTGATATGTATGATGTGGTGCAATCTGTCAACCTATAAATAGATGCAATATTCCCAACAGACTGCTCCTCATAGAGAGTGCAGGATAAGAGTGGCAGGTGGCATGTAAATATTGTAAGAAAGCTGCTTTTCTTAAAGCAAGCCACGTTTGATATTAACAGGTGCAGCTGAGTATTGAAAAACGCAAATTCAGTTGCTAAGAAACGTTCAGGTTGGTTGAGCAGTTTTCCCCACTGCAAATAAAAGAGGCTAATGTGCTAATCTTTGTTCAATTGCTCATTTAATTACTCATTCAGCACTTTAGTCTGAAATGGCAGGACAGGTATTATTTACACAACAAGGTGATTAGGCTTCTTCCATGTTGTAAGGAGTCGATCAGTGATGTTTGGAGGCAATGACAACATGTGATCTACAACTGAACAATTCGGAAACGATACCTTTGGATCAAGAATTTTAATTGAGTGTTTCTGTATGGTTCACAAATTCCGTGTGTGTAATATTAATTGTGTGTGTGAAGTAAATTTTGTACATGTGAGAAATATATTCTGTGTCTGAAGTGAATTCTGTGTACATGTGCGTGTGAATTCTGTGTGTATATATGTGTAAAGTGAATTCTGTGTGTACTCGTGTGAAGCAAAAGGGTTTAATATGTTGGAATTAAACTTTCTTAGTACAGAAGCATCTTTTGTCAGAAAGCTATTTGTTTTGTGAACATACTTTCAATAATAATCCTTCCATCTGATATAGCGCCTTATCACGTCTTTGCGATGTCTCAAAGCGCTTCGCAGAATATACTGTAAATTGACTGTATATTTTGTGGACAAATCTTGTGCTTGTGCTGTTTGAAAGCTTGCTTGTTGGTTGACTGCAGGACAGAAATGAAGGCAACTCTGTGTGAACTTCACTGCGTGCAACAGCAAACATAAGCATATAATGAGCTTATCTGTGCAGGTGGATACAAAGCAAGCTTCAGAGTTACTACAATCGTGTTATTCCTCAGCTTTTTGGCTACATACATGGCTGAACATCAGGTTTTACTACTGTGTTGACAGGTGTCGAAGAATGGCTCCCTTGCATGTAGTTGCTGGCCCCGGTGCCAACTGAAAGGTATTATTAGAGCTCTTTAATATTGACTGACATGCTGTTCCAGATGCTGTGAAAAGTGCTGATGGCTATGCAGGTAAGAAATAGGTTACAGGGAAACAAAAAACTCTCCCACAAAGTGTTCAATCTTACATGATTAAGGCTTCCCATTCGAAGAAGTTCTCCTCATTGATGGGACCTGTGAAAGGCAAAGATAATAATCACTTACAGTGAAATCCATCCACTTAACCCCCACCCTTTCCCCCAGCTCCACGCACCTAACTGACTCAGTGTGAATGGGGAAGCAGGGAGATCATTTACAGTGCTGCAGCACACACCTGAACAGTGGGAATGGTTGGAGAAAGCACAACAAATGGTAAAGTAGGTGAACAATCGACACTCAAAATTGGATTCAATCCATTTTATAATAATAATAATCCTTGCATTTTGATATAGCGCTTTTCACGTCTTCTAGACGTCCCAAAGCGCTTCACAGAATATACTGTAAAGTGAATTGACTGTATATTTGTGGGCAAACGTGGCAGCCAATTGCGCACAGCAGTGTCCCACAAACAGTCGTAGATTGAAAATGACCAATTTATTATTGTTTTGGTTTTGGAGGGATTATTATTAGGCTCTGTGTGGAGTAAGGAAACTTGCCCAAGGTTTCGCCCTCTGCCTGGAAATGAACCCAGGTCTCTCACTTGCAAAGCGAGTGCTCTAACCACTAAGCTACAGGACTCCAACAGCTACAGGACAGGATTTTCTACCCAGATAACATTTCATTAACAATGTGGTAACTAATGTGGTGGTGAGAGCAAGTGCCAAGTGTCAGCTTGGGTCATGTGTTTAGACTCTTGACTCAGTGTCAAAAGTTGTGGATTCAAGCGCCACATCAGGACTTGCTTCAGTCAGACATTCCAGTACAGTACCATTGCTGAAGGTGGAATGATTTCAACCAAGTATTAAAACAAAGTCACATTTCCCTACTCAGCACGATATTAAGATCCCATGACATTATCCCAAGTCCAACGGAGTTTCTCTTGGTTTTCTGGGCAACAATCCTCAAAATAAATAGCTTGATGATTTCATGGGTCCTTGCTATGTGTAAAATGGCTACTGGACTTGCCTCCAAAACAGTCACTAAAATTGAAATAAATTGCCAAAAACCATATATGTTTTGACATAAGGTGCTATAAAAATATCAACTTCTTTTTCTATACTGTAATACTTAAGTCATTGATATTTTGGCAATTTCTGCACCCTAACCAAGATCTGCTAACTTAACACAGACAGCAATTAAACCTGTAACCTTTTGGTCTACGACTCAGGGTTGCACTGGGCAGTATTTTGATGTTTTTAATGCGACATATAATAGTTATATATTAGGCTGTAGGTAATGACTAACACTGACATCTGTTGGAATTATACTTATAAGGAAAGCAAGCAGCTAGTTTTAAACACTATAGTGTTTTCAGCGACACATATCTCATACATAGTGCTAATTCAGCAGATACCCCAAACTCCATGGCACTTAGAACAGAAGGTCCATAAATGGACACGCGTATATAAGTCTTCATACATAGAGCCTTGTCATTTCATTAGACCCTACACACACATTGTTCAATAGCCCTCATACCCACATATGACGGCACGAGCGCAAGAGCCCTCACTGGGATCCTTGCAGAGAACCCACATGCATACACAGCCATACCACTTAACAACAAGGACTCCCTACAATCCAGGGCTTGCTGCAAAAAAAATCCCGATACATATATATGCTCAGGTGTGGAGAACAAGTCCTCTTAAAGAACATTTTTGAAAAATGTCACTCATTTGGATGAGCCCTCGTGCAGATAAGCATGGCCAGCTGCGTGAGAAGGATTGAAACGGCCTCACAGGCATGTTGTAGAATAAGACAACACTGTACGCAGCTCTACAAAACAAGCTCTGCACTGTCTGCTGCAGAACAAGTCTACATACATTTATTTGCGCATGCACATATCGAAGAAATCAGCCTACTTCAGATCAGTGAAGTGTGTGCTTTCAATGTGGTGCTCCTGTGTATTGTTAGCACTGTCCGGTCAAGTGCAATTGATTCGCTGGTAAATTTCTTTCAACTTTTGCTGCTGAGAATTTTTGCCATGAAGAAATGAGACATGCTTACCTGCAACAATTCCTTCTGGAGGATTTAGTGTTAATTCTGCAAATAGAGAAAGTAAAATAATTACAAAAGAATAGAAGTGCTCCTCTCTCACAGCTACTGAATAAAACCACTTCTGAACTAATCAAAATGTCAAATGGGGAAGGCTAAAAGTTTGAGAAAATTCTGTTCCCTCACACACAGACAAATCATTATCCTGGCTCAGTTGGCAGCGCTCTCGTTTCTGAGTCAGACCATTGCGAGTTCAAGCCCCACTTTGGGACTTTGACCTCTCAATCAATATTGACACTCCAGTACAGTGCTGGGAATGCGTGTGGGACTTGTGTGGAGTCCTGTAGCTCAGTGGTTAGAGTTCTCGCTTTGCAAGCGTGAGACCCGAGTTCAATTCCAGGCAGAGGACGAAACCTTGGGCAAGTTTCCTTACTCCACACAGAGCCTAATAATAATCCCTCCAAAAATCAAAAAAACCCAATAATAAATTGGTCATTTTAAATACACGACTGTTTGTGGGACATTGCTGTGCGCAATTGGCTGCCGCGTTCGCCCACAAATATACAGTCAATTCACTTTACAGTGTGTTCTGTGAAGCGCTTTGGGACGTCCTCCCGACGTGAAAAGCGCTATATCAAATGCAAGGATTATTATTATTATTATTAATGCCGCATTGTCAGAGATTCTATCCTTCAGATGAGACGTTAAACCATGTTCCCATCTGTTTGTTCCTGTTCAGGTAGACGTTAAAGATCCCACAGCACTATTTGAAAAGAGAAGGGAGCTTTGAGATGTCTCAATGAAGTGATAAGGCGCTATGATGTTCTGCAGGATATGTTATCCCCATCGGTGACTCTTGGTGCTAACTAAGGTGAATAAGCCAGTGCTGGGAAATGTAATACTTTTAGACCCACAGTGGGGTCAAGCAGTCTCAGAACTGGTGCAAGGAGCAGTAGAAGATAAAGCTTCCATAATGCTACCCAACCATCTCATCTGCCTGAACTACAATCTCAGTGAAACACCCCCTAATGTATCCACACAAAGAGACACCTTTGTATGTCAAATGATAGTATGGGTCTGTGCTTAGTTAGAAGATCTAAGATGGGGCGTTAACTGGTTGTTACAAAAATTGGCCTCGACATTCCTGGACAAGGAAGGAGGGGGTGGGGGAAAAAAAGAAAATTAGCCAATGGCTTCTACTCCTGGTTGCAATCTAACAGCTAATGCTGCAATGTCAGAGTGGCTCAGTTGTGAGAACTCTCGCCCGACTCAGGCCCATATTGCCCCCATACAATCAAGGTCGACACTCCAGTGCGGTGCTGGAGGCATGCTGGATTGTTGAAGGTGCCATCCTTCGGATGAGACGTTAAACTGAGGTCCTGTCCGACGATTCAAGTGAATGTTAAAGGTAACACTATTTGAAAAGAGAAAGGAATTTTTCTCAGTGTCCTGGTCAACAATCCCCCAAATAAGATTGGTCTTTTGCTTCGTGGCTGATTGCAAGACACTGCTGTGCGCAAACAGGCTGCTGTGCTTGCCCACAAAACACACAAACGCTGCACACTTGACAGTATATCCAATGATTCCTGGAACGAGTTGTTGCTTCCCAGCTTCGCTCCTTCCTCTCCCGCCACTCCAATCAAGTTTTCGTGCTGCCCACAGCACAGAAACAGCCCTGGTCAGTGACAAATGATATTCTGTCCACCTGTGACCAGGGCTCCCTCTGCTCCCTCATTCTCCTTGACCTCTTTGCTGCCTTCGACACCGTTGACCACTCTATCCTGATCCACTGCCTCCCTCTCACCTCAACCTCCACGGCTCTATCCTTGACTGGTTCAGATCGTACCTCTCACACCGCCTCCACTTCATCTCCACAAATGGTTTCTCCTCCAGCCCCCGCACCGTCTCGTGGGCATTCATCAGGGCTCTGTCATTGGTCCTCTCCTCTTCAATATCTATATGCTTCCTCTTGGTGACATCATCCGCAGACATGGGGTCAACTTCCACATGTATGCGGATGACATCCAACTCCATCTCTCCGCCTCCACCACTGCTGTCCTGACAGAATGTCTGTCAGACATCAAGTCCTGGATGAGAGCTAACTTTCTTTAGTTGAACGTCAACAAGACCGAGGCCCTATTGATTGGCTCCTGTCAATGCCTCCACTCTTCAGGCACTGACAGCATCACCATCCATGGTTGCACACTCCACCTTACTAAGCCAGTCCTTGGCGTCTTGTTTGACCCTCAACTATCCTTTCTACCCCACATCCGTGCCATGACCCACTCTGCCTTCTCCCACCTCTGCAACATTGCCCGGCTCCGCCACCATCTCACACCACAGGTCGCTGAAACCCTCACACAAACATTCATAACATCCAGACTTAACTATGCAAACTCCTTACTTGTCGGCCTCCCCAACTCCTCCCTCCATAGGCTGCAGGTCATCCAGAACTCTGCAGCCAGGCTCCGTGACCCTATCACCCTCATCCTCGCCCGGCTCCACTGGCTTTGTATCACACAAAAGATACAGTTCAAGATCCTGACCTCACATTCAAAGCACTCCATGGCCTTGCTCCCCCCTACCTCTGCGACCACCTAACCCCCTACCATCCTGCCTGCTCCCTCCGCTCAGCAGGCTCCGGCCTGCTTCATGTTCCCCACCTCACCCGCCCCACCAATGGTGGGCAGGCCTTCTGCCACTCTGCCCCCACCCTCTGGAACTCCATCCCGCAGTCCCTCTGCCTCGCTCCCTCCCTTGCCTCCTTCAAGACCCTCCTCTTCGATCATGCTTTTGATCATCCTGCTTCATGCCTGCCCTCAACCCTCCCCAATCCCAAACCTCAGCTTAGGTCCGAAACACTGACTGTCTTACCGCCTTGAGACATCCATGAAATGTGCTATACAAATGTAATTTGTTGTTGTTGAATCGTTTTGAGACATCCGGCTGATATAAAATGCTCCATCCCAAATGCGAGCTTTACTTAAGACAGCCCGTGTATATCAAGTGAGGGCAGGATCAGGCTGTCCCCATCTCCAGCTTCCCAGGATCAAATAAATCTGTGGATACTCCCTCACCAGGTTTAGAAAAAGAATGGTCATCTGGATGTAGTCTAGGACAGCTGGAGCACCCCACCAGCATAAAATCAGCGCGTTCATCATAGAAGTCGAGGGAAAAATGGCTTGTCTGAAATATGGCGATAGATAAGTGAGTGGTGCACACTCCTTCATAATGATTAATTCTTTAACTTGAACAACTCAGGGCATCATATCGAACTCTAGGCCTGACTCACCCTACAGTTACAGGCCATAATGATAGTCTGCTTCAAAAGAAGCAATTCAGCAGCAAGGCGTGTTACCGGACCACTCAATCCATTAAACTGGCACAGACCAAACCTTTTTAGTCAGCAGCACCAAGTTACTCATTCTAACAACAGGATCAAAGAAGCTAACAGCAAAATGTAAACACCTCCCGGCCTGTAGAGTGGTACATCACTCTCTCATCAAGCAGCTGTTAAAATAAAACACCCGATCACGGCACAGGCATGTTTTACAGGATCTAAAGCCAACAATATCACTGCAATGTTCCAAAAATCATAGAAATTAAAGCATAAGAGGTGGTCATTCGGCCCGTTGAGCCTAAAATGGGCTAGCTCACCTACTAGAATAACTACAGTACTTTAATCCCAATTATATTTTCTTGTATGTTTCAGAGTTAGAATAACAGACAGACACATCAGTAATAATAATCCTTGCATTTGGTATAGTGCCTTTCACGTTGGGAGGATGTTCCAAAGCGCTTCACAGGATTTATTGTGAAATGGGGTGACTTTGTATTTGTAGACAAAAGCAGCAGCTAATTTTGGAACAGCTTTGTCCCACAAACAGCCATGAAACAAATGAGCAGTTTTATTTGAGGGATTGTTGGCCAGCACTCCGAGAGAAACTTCCTTCTCTCTCGAACAGTGCCATGGGATCTTTAACATCCACATGAACAGGCAGATGAGACCTTGGTTTAATGTATCATCCAAAGGAAGACACCACCGACAGTACAACATACCTTCAGCATTGAATTGGGGTGTCAGCTTAGACTATGTGAGTTCAAGTCCCGACGTGGGGCTTGAACCAACAACCTTGTGACTCAGAGGGGAGAGTACTTCGAACTGAGCCAAGCTGACTATTCACAAGCACCTGTACACAGCCTGTAGTCATCCAGCACAGCCTTCTGTGCCCTACCAGTGGATCAGGCTGTGCCAAAACCAACTGAAATTAGTTTGAATGCAACAGCAGGAGCCATAGAGGGCCTCAGATCCTTAATGCAAAGCCAAAGTAATTCATTTAAATGTTTAGTAAACATAATTGGTTTGAGATCTCCAATTAACACCCCAGCCATCCTTACAGTGAGCACATCTCCCTGTAACAACCATAATAATAATATAATAATAATAATCCTTGCATTTTGTTTCAATGGATTTGCAGCCTCTGACAAGGGATATCATCCTGGCACGCAAGGAGACAGATTGGTAATCCTGCACCTCCAATTCAGTCACAATTAGGTATCTTCCATTGTGCCTCGTATACAATACAAATCACAGCAGCACTGAGACAGGCATCATGTTCCAACTGTGGAAGCAGGTCTGGCTTTCAACAGGCCTACAAAGCCCTTTAATCAGCACTCACGAGTATACATGAAATCTTACCCATTCACTCGGTCACAGGATGAGCTGGCAGCGTGGGAGCTAAAATCATAATCTAAATCTATGGGATTTCAGGTTAAACGGTTGCTGAATAGAAGAAGATGCTATGCGTTTTTTCCCAGGTGAATGGTCTGCTTTAATGCCAGACCAACAAGATCACAACACAGAGGCCACAGAGTAACCAGAGTCAATAAAGCAATGAGAGATCAAATTCGGATTTCTGATATCCTGAAGATTTCTGTACTTGGAAATCACTCAGATCTAATCTTTCTTCGTGAAATGAAGATTCTTTATACAGTATCATTTGAGACAAGTTTTTGAACAAAATCTTATTGTAGTCTCAAATGGAAAC